GCTGGGCTGATAGAGGATAAGAGCCAGCTGATCAACGAGGTACAGCAGGCGAGAGTCCGGCCCGGCCCCGCCCCAGGGCATCCAGCTTGCTTTCCCTGAATGGAAAAAGGTGGAGGTCTGACATCGTTACCCCACAGGTGGAATGGCTCAGGCAGTACACTTCTAACCAGAAGAAAAAGCTCTGGAGTCATTTTAGAATTGTTGGCAACCTGCTAGAAAGATGTACTGTCAGAGCAAATGCTGTTCCCGATTTTATGTGTTTAGCCGAGGAATGGAACTTAGTCTGCAGTCGGTGCTTTCCCACCTTGGAACCTGGGCATTCATTGCTCAACCGTAAGATTCTAAGCTTTCCGGGACCCTGCAGGGAGATGTGCAGCAAGTGGTCATCAAGGGGGAGGAACCCTGTGCTGCTCAGAGAGGGTCTGTCCTGAGCTGAGCCCCCCTCCACCTGACAGGATGGGTCCAGGTGGGGTGTGCTTCACAGCCTCTTGCTTCTGTGTCAGCAGGTGACCGACCTTTGACATGCTCTCTTTTAGGAGTTAAAAACAAAAGATGACCAGTACATGGAGGATTTGAAAAACAGTCAGATGACATCTGCCTGCTCCTGGAGTGGATGGAAGAGCAAGTGAAGGATGTGATGAGAAGCTTTCACCAGGAGCGCTGTCACATTGAGGTGACTGATGGGGTCTGAGAGAGCTGCCCTCTGCCCCTGGGAGGAGGCTGGCTCTGTCCTAACAACCAAGGAGGGCCCCAGATGTCTTGGTCTTCTGATTTCTGTGCCTGTTCTAGGGTTTCATTCATTCAGTTACTCATTCACTCACTCACTCATTCATTCACTGCTCCAACAAATACGTGTCCGGTGTCTATCACGTGCTAGGCATGGACCAGTGGCTGGAGATACAGCCACGGACAAAAGAAAGTTTTCAATGGAGCCTGTATTCCAGGAGGAGACAACCAGATAAATGGCTCAGTATATAATGTGACAGGTGGTGATAAGTGCTTGGAAAGGAAATAAAACAGGGTAAGGTGAGAGGAGTGGAGGGGAAAGATCAGTGCTCCAGACCCATCAGGCCTCCTGAGCTGTTTGTCTGACTGATTTATGACAGTCAGGGACAGGGCAGGGTGGGAAAGGGGCAGGCCAAACAGGACCCGGGAACCAATACTTTGAACTGGAATGAAATGTTAAAGATTGAGATGGAGACAGGCCTTTCCAAACTGGAAGAGCCAAGATGGTGGGGCCTCTCTCTTTGGAGAGCTATAGATCCATTTCTGCTTTCCCAGGCCCACCCCATCCACTGCCCCACTTCCGCGAGCTCCATGCTGCCTTTGCTTCATGGGAACCCCAGCCAGAGCAAGGCACCAACCCGGGTCACTGCTGAATTCCACGCCAGGGCTGGCCCTGGGACTGCAGGACACTGGCCTTCCCCCAATGTACAGACTTCATAACAGTTTCCAGGCAGCTCCTTCCTTAATGTTGCACAAAACTTGGCGAGTCTGCACTTGGATATGACTTTGTGTCACTTGTGCTGTTGTCTGAGAGTTCTTTGATGCAGTGGGTCCTGTCTAATCCAAACAGACAGGTCGTACAAAGCATTAGAAGTGCAGCGACCAGAGCTGCTGACCAGTAATGAGAAGTGGGAGCGAGCCTGCAGGCGCACAGCGCCAAGGAGGAAACAGGGTGGCCGACAGCAGAGTGGGCAGGCGTGTCTGGGTGATCGATGGAGTGACACGGGTGAGTGGGGACCCATGACTGGATCAGGTCTGCACGGCTGGCGGGCACTCCAGTGTGGTCCAGTGGCTTGTGGGTGAGACAAGGCAGCATCCTTCTGAGGTGGCGGGAACTAAATCTGTCACGAGGACTGGCTTTGTCCGTGGGAGGGGCTCTTAGGCATCCCAGGATAATGTTCCTCTGGGGACCCCACTCCCCAGAGTGCCAGCCCTGCGGTTCTGCTCTGTGGCGGCGTGCGTGGCTGGTTACCCAGAGTGGGGCTGAGGAGCCGGGGACTCGTCCTGAAACCTGTCTCTGACTGGACGTGCCGCCTTCCTTCTCCTCAGGGTCTCCTCACGGGGAAAAGCTGCTGGGCCTTCTCCTGCCCCTGGAGAAGGGCAAGTGTTACCTGCTGAGGGGGCGCCACCTTCTCAGTGCATCTGCCAGCATTGCCTCAGCCCAGGCAGTGGGACGGCTCTCCTGGGGCTTCGCTGGACCCACCGTGTCCTCCTTCCCTTTACCTGCTCTCCTCGCAAAGCACACGGGCCTCAG